GTGGGGTATAAAAGCATTTTTGTTATGTGGTGAAAGTGGTATGGTTTACAATATACTGCTTTATCAAGGGGCTACCACTGAAATAGATACAAGTACACAAAAACAATTTGGTCTAGGCGCTAGTGTAGTATTACATTTAACAAAACACCTTGAAAAAAATAGGCATTTCCTTTTTTTTGATAATTTTTTTTCAACGTTTAATTTATTTGAACAGTTGCAAGCCAACCAAATATACTCTGTTGGTACTATTCGTACTAATAGATTTGCAAATCCACCCTTATTAACCGATAAACAATTAGCCAAAATGGGGAGAGGTACAGCCTTTGAAATTTCAACTGATATGGAGAATTGCAATTTATGTATGGTGAAATGGTATGATACAAGGTCTGTTACCTTAGTTTCCAATTATATAGGGTCCGGGCAGTTGGACACTGTAAGACGTTGGGATAAAAAATTAAAAATGTACGTCAATATTGAAAGGCCGGAAATAATAACAGCATACAACACATCAATGGGTGGTGTCGATAAAGTAGACCAACTCATCAGTTATTATCGAACATTTATACGTTCAAAAAAATGGACTCTACGAATGATTGTACATGCTTTCGATCTAATAGTTGTTAACTGTTGGATACAATATAAAAAAGACGCTGACTATTATAACATAAATAAAAATAAAATAAAAGATCTGCTACATTTCCGAATGGCACTTGCGGAAAATCTCATAAAAGTAGGCCAAAATGTACCAATAAAACGTAGGGGAAGACCTCGTGCAGATACAGGAGATAATAATGAAGTTTTAACGATACCCAAAGTACGAAAAGTCGATTCTAGTCAGCCAACAGATGATGTGCGAAAGGATAAATTTGATCATTTTCCCGAGTTTGATACAAAAGGCCACACTTCAAGATGCAAAAACCCTGGATGTAAAAGAAAAACGCACATATTTTGCATAAAATGTAATATCCACTTATATCTTGATGGTACAAGTAATTGTTTTTATAATTTTCATCAGTAAAATGTTAACGAAAGTTTTTTTTATTATTTTTATATATGGGTAATATATAGAATATTATTATTTTTTTTTATCACAGGTAATACASACAAAGATTTGTTTTTATTTTGTTTTTAATTAAAGTTGTTTTTATAAGTATAAATGTATTTATTTTTA